AGCCCCGCCCCGCCCAGCCACTCGGCCCTGAGCACCCTGGGCCTGGGCGCGCCCCGCGAGTTTGTGGGAGACCTGGAAGAACAGCCCGAGTCTCAGGCGCTGCCACGCTGCGGGAACCAGGCCTCTCTGCTAAGTGCCCTCCCTCTGCTGGGCCCGTGGCGTCCCCACAGCGGCCGTCCGCCCTCCCGCTGGGCTTCTCCCCGCCGGCGGCGCTGGCCGCTAAAGCCTGTGCCGCCTCCAGGAGCCCGGCACCCGAGGCGAGGAACTGGGCTCACGGGAGACCAAACACAGCCGGACCTTTAGCCAGTGTGGCCCAGCCGGCTGCCGGTGGGTGATCCCTTCTCTCTGAGCCAGAGCCACTTCCTGGAGACCCGGAGACAAGGCTTCACTTTGTCAGTTTCCACGTCCCAGAGTGGAGAACTTCCTTCGAGAACAGGTCTGCGCGGATGGACCTCGCGGGCGGTTCTTGCTAGGAAAGTTCCCTGTGAAAGATGCACGGTCCGTATGCGGGGCATGGGAAAGATGTTTCAGAAAACACACACTTGGCGGTACAGCCAACATAAGGGATACATTGAAACAGTCTAAAATGCACAGATATCTATATTACATGCACATACTGGGCATGGAAAATATATTTCTCTAGGAAACATACATACAGAGGCACTTTTATTTGTATGGGAAAGCAACCTTCCGGGAAAAGGTTACACAGAGCATGGATAAACACCACTTGTAAAGATTCATTTACATAAACGGTACACTTGCATATATATCCTACACAGGGAATATACAGTCCTCATCGATTTAGCTACATAGATGTATCCATTCCATAAGCTGTATAAAATCATGCATGGAAAATGCATGCAGATATTAATGTGTCCACATAAAAAGCGCATGGAAAATACATCATATTATTACATATACACAAATTGAGTATCTACCCAATGTATGAAAAAATATGTTCTGTAAATTAGTTTGTTTGCATGGTGTGTGCATACCAAATACATTGCAGTACATTCTTTGAGCTCACATATTATTGTATTTATAATACACATCTATTTGGCTATCTTACAAACAGTAGCAGGAGGAAGCTCAGGCATTGGCAATAACCATCTCCACCAGCTGAGCCTCTTTTCTGTCTTTCTGTTTTTCTATTATTTCCATCTTTTAAAAAACCCCTTCTATGTCTATATGGATTATTTATATAAGTGGTCTCCTATCTCAGTTTCCCTAGTACATCTCTTGCCAAAGTCAGGGTCTATATTTAGAATCCCAAGTCCTGTTTGCAGTAGGGTCTGACTGCATAATCACAGCCTGTATGGAATGAGCATTATATAATTAGGTTACCCCTGTGTCTCAGGACTTGTTCTTCTAGACCTAAGATAAATATATTAGAGACTTACTCTAGGCTGCCAGTTAAGAAAGGGGGCTGGGGAGGGAAGAGGGAAGTGCAGTGACCTGGCAAGTTGTGTAACAGGCAGGTTGGGGGAAAGGCAAGTTCTAGGTGTATGCTGGGCACTCAGGGTTCCTGAAAGCCAAAGTTTGTTTAAATTTTTTTTAATTTATTTTTAAACTCTCCAGTGGAGAAAGACGCATGAAATAAAGGCCCGACCTGGTCTCCTATGTCCCTCTCAAACCCCAGAGCAGCCCCACTCCCTCTCAGCTAACCAGGAAGAGGATTCTAGCCCACCTAGCTCCTCAGCAGCGGTTGGCATCCTTAATGCTGGCCGGGTCTACACCGGCAGCAGGGAAAGTTTACCCTGGAACCCAAGTTTTTCTCAACAAAATCCACTAACCCTTTTGGAGAGGCAATAATAGCCGAAAGCATTTTCTGACCCTGAGCGAACTCTGTTTTGGCCCCGGAAAAATGAGTCCCACTTGGGTCTTTCTTTAGTAGCTAAAAATCCGAGACTACCTGACACACACCTATGGAAAAATTCTTTGAAAGACAATGCACTCACACCCCGCAGAGATATTGTTTATGGGTTCCGTGTAGACACTGCCATATTTTACTGTCCAAAGGAATCAATTAATTAGTGCCTCGCCAGTCCCCGCGCCGGTCGCTGCTTGGCTGAGCGTGAGCGGCTGAGATAGATGTGCGTGGCCAGCTCGCTGGTCTTGTTAACAAGCCTCGTCATAAAGATGGAGATGATAAGGAGAGCGCGGAAGCCCTGGCGGCCGCGAGGGGGGGCTCCGAGGGCCAGCCCACAGCGTGTGGGGCAGGGGCGGCCGGCCGAGTCGGAGCCAGAGCCCTCGCCGGGTGCTGCTCCGGCTTCCGCTGCTCGCTCGCGGTATCCAGTCTTCTCCCCTTCTGGGGCGTTCACGCTGGGACTCGGATAATTCCCTCTCTTCTCCGCTCTTCTGAATTTTCCCTTTTCTTCATCAAGCCCCAAATTAAAAAAAAAAATTAATAAAAATATGTAAACCTCTGTCTGTGAGTGCCTGTCTTGCTCTCTGCCACACTTGTTCCGAGACCGGCTGCCGCCTCCTTTCCCTGCATTACTCCGCGTGGTTTCATCTCTGTCTGGAGCTCTCTTCCCTCTCTGGCTTCATGGTTGCTTTTTCTACCAGGTTGGTACTGGCTCAGGCCCCAGTGAGCTTGTAAAAAAAATAATAATACAAATAACCCCTGGTTATCTTGCGGCAGAGTTAACACCCCCTGATAAGCCAGACCCCATGATAAAAAAAACCCAACCTTGGATGTAATTGCTGGTTTGGGTTGCAACACTTAATTCTGTTTATTCTCACCAATGTGCACACTTAACGAAGAGATATTGATATTAAAGGGCAGGGGGGAATTAATTTTACTTTTATGGTCATCTATTAAGAGCATAAGATGGTCTGAGTCTCCTTTAAAGGGACCAAAAAAGGGGGGAGGGAGAGAGAAGGAAAGGGAGGGGGAAGGGAGAAATATGACTGAAGGCGAACAAAGATCTTTGCCTGAAGAAACAATGTAACACTAGACAGAACTATAAAGTCTGGGAATGTAACAACGCAGGACCCTCTCAACTTCCCCCATTTGGAATCCTGTCCCTTGCACTTCCTGCTGAAATCCCAATCCTGACTACACAGCAGTATTCAAGGAAGAATTCATGCAATTATCTGGATAATTGTAGGGAGAGAGAGAGAGAGAAAGCATTTCCCTTTTATTGTCTGATCCTCTCTGGTGTCAGTGCAGAGGAGGGGGGATGTTATATGGGATATGGAGGAAAAGGAGGTAGTAGGGTCTCCCAATGTCACCCTAAGACCTACAAGATGGCTACTCCTGAACCAAGAAGGTCCAAGGCAGGAAATCATAGATTCTTTAAGAGATTTTGAAGGCTTCAGTGATCCAGTATCATTTTCCAAAATATTTGTTTGGTTTTACTTTGTCTGTATAGACCTGCCTCATCTAGTATTGTAATTATCAAATAATAGATAATTATAGGGGTGTCGATAATATCATTTATTTTATAGCCACACAAGATATGATTAGAGTTAATGTCAGAGGCTCTGTTGGAGCCTGGAAGGCAGCAAGAGGTAAGGTAGAGAGAGAGGCAGATTGCCTTTCTCTTTCCTATTTTTATGTGTGTGTGAATCTCCAGAAATCCCCAATTCTCTAAATCCCCTTCCCAGATGTGTTAAGGGAAATCTCTACAATTTTAGGGGTTGGGAGCTCAGAGAAGGGCAAACAATTTGGTACTTAAATCTCCCCCTTAGTCTCAGGGCCAGTAGTCTCTGCTCTCCCATGTTCCCCCACAATGAAGGGCTTCACCCTCAGTTCAAAACTACTAAGGTCACAGAGACTTGGCAATTTAGGCCCAGTGAGAGGAAGACAGGGTCTTACCAAAACCAAGTTCATTGTCATCCTCAAGTGGGCACTGGGTCCAGAGTGAAGCCCCCTTTGATCCCAATTTGGCCTTCTTTCCTGGACCTCTTCCCCAGAGACACCTGGATGGGAGCAGAAATCAGGTTAGGGCCCTGGAGGTTGGTTGGGTTGGGGATGGGGAAAAAACTGAAAATCTGCTTTCTTGTTTCTGGGATTCAGAACACCAGAAACCAGAAGCCTGGGCGGGGGCGGGGAAGGGAGAGAGAGAGAGAGTTTGTGGTAGAGAGCCAGGCAAGAGAGAGTCAAGGGAAACCATGAAACAGGAAGACAAGAATAAAAGGAATGAGTGAAAGAAAAGGGGCAGGAGGAGAAACCACAGGGAATAAAGGAAGGAAATAAAAAGGAAAAGCTAGAAAAGGAAATAAGAGAAGAAAAATGGAGGAACATTTAAAAAAGGAAAGGAAGATTTGAAAGCGAAGGAGAGGAAGGAGGGAGAACAGAGGCCAGGGTCTGCCGGCTGTGCGCTCTGCCAGGCTGCCTGCAGCAGTCTGGGTGGGCGGGGGGCGCCATGACAAAGTGAAGGTCAAGTTAGCATCGTACCTTATAAGGAAGGCGTCGGTCCTCCATTTCAGCCTTTCTTTCTGCCTGGACATGGCCGTAGCATTTCTAGGCTTGTAAACACTGGACTCTTTGGGGCCTTAGAAAAAAATAAAGACCCCCTTCCTTCCTTTATTGGGGGTGAGCTCCACCGGCTGGGGGAAGCAGCGGACAGAGAAGTCAACTAATGAAGACTCTGGGAAACTTTTCTCTCCTTTTCTCTCTCTCTCTCTGGCTCCACTCCCGCCAGCTGGGACTCCCTCCCTCCCTCCCTTTCTCCCTCCCTCCCTCCCTCCCTCTCTCCCTCCTCTTCCCAGCCTAACGCCTCTTTTGCTCTCTGTATCTCTGGGTCTTCCGTGTCTCTAGCCACTGTCTGTAACTCTGGGCTCCGTCTTTCCACACTCCCCTCCCCTACTGCAGACTTCTAAATCCGTTCCATTCCGCCAGGAAAAGGAGCAGGACATAAGAATTGGAAAGAAAATTAGCCATCACAAAGAAAAGTTCATTTACAGCCTAAATGTCTATTAAGATTTCCTTCTGAAAATAAGGCGGTACACTCGGTAAGGAGGAGAAGTGAGGCAGCGCCAGTGGGAGGGCTGATGAGGTAGGAGACTTGGATTTATTTATTTTTCAGATCAAGAGGCGGAGAGAAAGGGGGAGAAGCAGACAAGCGAGAGAGAAGCGTTTCAACCCGGCAACTAGCAAAGGAGGCTGCAGCGGGCGGGACTGGGAGCAAAGCGCGCGGGCCGAGGACCCGGACCTGCCGCCGCGATCCTCGAGCACTGAGCGGGCTCAGCCTAGGCCTGGGGTGCGGAGAAAGGAGCATATCCGAAATCTGTTGGCCTGAGAAGAGGGGGAGAGGCAAGGACGGAGGGAGGCAGGGAGAGACAGAGGAAGACGGCGCCGCAGCGGGCCAGCCGGAGGGAAAGTGAGTTCCGGAGCTGCGGGCGCGGTGGCGACCCCGGCGGGCTGCGGGCTGGGGGCAGCGGGCGGCTCAGCCGAAAGCCAAGGCGCCAGAGAAAGGAACCTGAAGTGGAATCCTTGATCTTTTCCCTGCAGGGTGGCACTGGGGGAGAGAGGGAGGGAGAGAGAGAGAGAATATAGCGTAGGGGTGTCTGTGAAGGGCTCGCCTCCTTTTTCCTGGCCCTGACAGCCTGTTTTCTCCTGCTCTGTGCCCACGGAGCCCTTTTTAGGCCTAATCGTTGCTTTTCTAATGGCGAGGGAAGGGAGAGATGCTCAGGGCAATTCTGGGGACTTCTGGTTCAATCTGATACTCCACAAAGCCCTAATTTTGTCACCTCCGCCCTTCTCAACTGGAAACCAGCCTCTAGGGTCAGTCCCCTCCCACTTTACCTACCAGGCTAAGGTGCCTAAGGGCTACTAGGGACCCGAAGGAAGACCTGACACCCAGGTGGGAGCAGCCGGGAGCACTGGGGGTGGTCAGTGGAGCTCCCAGGCCTCAGGGCCTAAGAGCCCTCCCACCCTGCATCCTGATAATGAAAAACAAAGGGGGAGGACTTGATTATTTCTGATGGTGTTAAAGGATCCAGGCTTAGAAAAACAGCGTCTGACCCTGAGCTCTAAGGTGATAGGCGTCTCTCCCACAGACATTTAATCTGGGCAAATGTCCCACTGCCTGAGCTCCAGGGGCTGAGGAGGTGGCCAGGGTGAGGACATTTGCTGCCAGAAAGCCCCAGGGAGGGAGCGGCAGGCCCCTTTGGTATTATCTAGAGTTGTGTGGAGAGTATTTTAAAAGGTCAGAATGAAGTGGGGAGGCCCTTTCTGATGTCCCCCTCAGCTCTGAGAAGGGAAGCCCCAGGAAGTGAGGGAGTTTATGAGCTGGGACATTTCCCCCTAATGTGGGAAAGACAGAGATAGCCAGACCTCATCCTGAAAAAATGTGTTTTGTGCCTGTGACAGAAAACTGGTAGCTGCTTGGGAGATTTCCAGACTTTTAGGGAGTAGAGCAGGGCCAGACTCTGGGGCAAGGCAGAGGCTGAGGTGTGATTTAGGGTAAGTGGAGGAATCTAAGGGAGTAAGACTAAAAAGGTATCACCCAAATCCATTTCCTCGGAGAAGACACACACACACACACACACACACACACACACACACACACACACAATGGGCTCCAATATTGAAAAACACCAGATGATCTCCTTCGAAGGGACATAAATAGGCCAAGCGGATGCAGGTTAATAAAACCTGCAAAAACCCAGACAGGAATACTTAAAATGCCCCAGAAACAAAGCACACTGTGACAAATTCTCACCCAACACACAAGTCCATGCACCAAAATGTTCCCAGGCACAGAGAGACCCTCCCCACCCTGCGCCTCCCCACTTGGACACTCAGGTGTACCTGCCCAGCTCCAGGAGCACACACAAATCTGTGCACTTTCCTAAACTTACACACAGAAACCCTTGGGGGCAAGGGGCAAGCGCTTGGCGGCACACACACCCCACCGAGCCAGACCCGTGTCTCCTGAGCCTCAATAATGCACGATCCATACCCGGAGATAAAAGTCTAGACAATAGACGGCTGTTTATGACAACGGGGCTCTCCAAGTTTGGAGCCAGGCGATAAATCTCTGGTGAATCTTCCTGTAACTCAACTTCTGGCTGTAGTGACGAGAGAACCACGGAGACCACAGAGAGAAAAGCAGCAAAATGCGAGAGACTTTTAAATCGCGAGCAGAAGGCGACTTCCCCGCTGGGGCAGGAGAGGGCAGGCGGCCACACTCGCCCCACATGGCACGTCCACACTGTGGAAGCTTTCGGATCAAGCTTCGGCACACAGGCGAGTCAGGTTTCCTGGCCCCCCAGAAATCGGGGCGAAGTGTACAGGCAGATGGTGGGGCATGGAGGCTGGAACAGACCCACAAACCGTTCTTGCTGCAGGCAAAGGGTCTTTTTTTGTTGGTGGTGACCAGAATCTTCCTGCTATGCGTCACCTGAATTTTTTCATCCCAGTCCCCCTCTTCTCCCTAGTGTTCTCTCTCTTTCTCTCTCTCTCTCTCTCCACCCCCCCCTTTTCCTTTTTGGATTGATGGGCTGTTCCCTTTTGCATTTTCGACCCAGGCGTCTGATTACAAGTAAAGAGCCACTGAAGTTCATCTCATAAAAATGCCGCGAGCTCACTTTGATCTGCGCAGACTGGGTCCGAGCCTAAGTAGGCGCTAAAGCCAGGGAATGGCGGCTCGGGCCAACCGGCCTCCGCTTGGCGGCGGGGCGGCCAGAGATCCGGGTGGCCCAACAGGGCAATCTGGCCCAGAAAAGACATTTCTGTGCTGCTGCAACTGGGTTTGGACACCAAGGTCCAATAGTAGCAGCTCCAATTCAGACTGCTTTTAAGGCATTTCCTTCATTTTAGAGCATTTGGTGAGGGGCCCAGTGAAACTGGCTCATAAAATGGAACTTTTATGGGGAGAAATGGGGTCGCGTTGCTAGCCTCCTGGGACAATCCCTCAGCGGAGGAAGGCGGGTGGGGCTGCGGGGGGCGGAGAAGCTGCCCTTCTCCCTCCCCCTGTCACTTCCAGGAGCCGAGGAACCTCAGAGCAGCATCCACTGGCTTGGGTGACCTGACTTGGGCCCTTGGGCTTGAGGCAATGGCCAGGGCTGAGGAGAGGTGGGGGCCAAGGACCAGCAGTCCCACCCCCGCTCTAGTTCTTTGGCTGAAAGTGAGATGTGTCCTGGGATGCAAGGTAAACCGCTGGCCTAAAAATCCCCAAGCACACTATAGAGGGATTACTAAACACCCCCGATTGCTCTAAGGGGAGAGAAAGACGTGCAACAAGGTGCGAGCTGATTTCTAATGAGGGTTCATCCTTGTGGGCCAAGCCTCCGAACGCTGAGGTTGTCCACGCGCCTGATGCTTATCTCTTACTGACTCCACATGGGACTGAACTTAGAGTCCAAGCCCACTGGAGCTCTAATGGTCCCTCTTTCTCCTCTCTGGCTTTCCCTCTTGGTGCCTGGTCTGTGGGATGGGCCCCTTTCCCTGGTTCCCCCAATCTGCTCTCTAGAATTGGGAGGTGGACAAGCTGCAAGGCCAGCCAGCGCTGTGTGTGGGGTCTCCCATGCGGGGATTCAGAATTCAGAAGATACTACCCCCTTCTGAAGCCGCCTCTGGTGTCCGCGTGTGGAAGGGAGCATCACTAGATCTGTTTTGGTCCTGGCCAGAGTACAGCGTCAGCTGCCTGGACCGAAGCGCAGCTGCCTGGAAGCGACCAGGCAGGCAGGTGGGCTGGAGGTGCCGACTGAGGCCACCAAGAACCAGTGAGCTAGGCAGGATGGCCCTGCCCTGGAGGATTTCAGGTGAAAGATGGGACTCCAGGATTGTGGAAGGGCCACAGGCACCCATGAGATGGGGGAGGGGAAGCCACCTCCCGCCAGGGAGTGGGGCTTGCCACGGTTCTTAGGAACTGATTTGGGACCACAGTTGAGTCTCATGTTGGGGGGATGCACTGATGCCCTGGGGTGCAGCCCGGGGCAAGCGCCACAATCTATGCTTTGGAGTGGTCCTGGACTGAGGGTTGGGCAGGGAAGTGGCCAGCCCACACTGTGGGCATTTTTGCCCATCAATACCTTGCTGACCTCATTGTCCAGGGCCTTCTTTCCTTGACTCTGGCAGCAACCTCCAGTTGCTGGGATTTTAAAAAAGTTGTTGAAAAATTAAAAGTCGGACCAAAACTAGGAAAAAAAATTGAACTTCATGCCTTACTTTTCGGGGGAAGAATATTAATTCTCAGAAGCCTCTGTTGGGAGACCTAGAGTTTCCTGGACATCAACTTCTTTGACATTCTTTCTTGCCTTCTTTTTTGTTTCAAGGAAATAAAGCCGCCACTGGCTCCTTGCAGCCGCCTGGCTCACTTTTATGGTGGCCCTGGAATAAACTTTGGTGGTCAAATTCAAGTGCTCAGGCCCACAGCTGGCTCCTCACAGGAAGCGTACCCCTCCCCACTGTCGGCCTCTGCAGTACAGAATTTGCCTTGGGGGCTTAGGCCCCACATCGCCCTGGAGACCAGGATGGAGAAGGAAGCAGGGCCCTGGGGGAACTGGGAAAAGCCGAAGCCGAGACTCTGAGCTCTTATCCCCACCTCTGCAAGGGATAGGGGTACCTCTCTCTTCCCTCTTGCTGGTTCCTATCACTGTTTGGAGAACATTTTGCCTCCAATAAACTTGAGTTTAATGAGGTCAGC